GTGCTGTTAGCCGCACTTCCTTTCTGAGACCGTTCACCTTCCCTTCCTAGGGTGTGCTTCGGGCAGCTGGACCGAAGATGGCCACTTTCCCCACAGCCATAGCACCTAGGGCTGTATCTTCTATTGTGGTCGCGAACCGTAACTGCTGCAACCTCCCTAGCGTGAGGTGAACGACGATCCTGTCGCCGCCAGGCAGTGCCGTTAGCTGCACTACCCTCCTGATATCGTTCACTTTCCCTTTTTAGGGTTCGCTTAGGGCAGCTGGATCGAAGATGGCCCTTTTCCCCACAGCCATAGCACCTAGGGCTGTATCCTCTGTTGCGGTCGCGAACTGTAACTGCTGCAACTTCCCTGACGCGATGGGAACGATGATCCTGCCGCACGGCTTCTACCTCCAGTGCATGGGCCAAGGCGTCCTTAAGCGTCTCGTGGTGCCCGAGCCTCACAGCAGCTCTGACTTCCAGGTCGCGGATGCCGTCGATGAATGTCTGCACCAGGTTCCCTTCAATGAGCGCAGGTACAGACCGGTATGCTTTTCGCACCAGCTTCTCCACTTCTAGAGCCCACTGCTGCAGGTTTTCGTTGATGCGCTGCACACGATCTTTAAGCTGCGCACGAAAGACGTGTTCCAGGTGAGCGTCGCCATATCTCGCCTCCAATGCGTCAAGGAGTTGCTCATAAGTCACTTCCTCACCGAGAGCTTCCAGAACTGTTAAGGCCTGGTCGCGCAGGCCTAGTGTGAGAGCAGTCATGGCCTGACTTTTATTCCAGCCGTTCGCCTTCATAACAGCCTCGAACTGGATTTTGTAGGCTGACCAGGAAGAAGTCCCGTCGAATGGTTGCACCTTGAACCCACGTAGCGAAGGTGTAGTAGCTACTACGGGAGCTGTAGTTCCCTCCCCAAGTTTGAGTTCGTCAAGTGATTTTCTCATGTCAGCCATTACGTTGTCAACCCGATTGTTCACTTGGTCAATTCGGGTTTCAGCTTCCGACAGGCGGTTTTCATGTTGAGCAACCTTATCCTTCACCTCCCTTATCTCTTTAACGAAGGTAGCGTGAAGGTCCTTCATGAGAAGCATCTGTTCCTCCTGTCGGCGGGCCTGTTCTCCCCCCCTCTCTCCCTCCTCCTTTCCGCCTGCTGATCTGCTAACGGACGGGCCTGTTCATCCTGTCCGCTCTGCAGCTGCTCTTTCAACTGACGGACCTGTTCCTCCTGTCGGCGAGCCTGTTCCTGCAGCATCACCATCAGGGCGCCTAAATCAGGTGCTGCAGATGCAGGAGCAACTGACGAACCGGCCTCCGTTGCCGGCGGCTGGCCCTCCGACGTCTGCGGCGTTGCACCACCAAATCTTCTCTGGTCCGTCTCATGCTGGCGTTGACTGCAGGTACGAACACCCTCCGTTTCCTCCTTAGGTAAAATCGGCATGATTTTATCCCACTTCTGACACCAATTGTTACGAGCTTGAGGTTCGTGACAATAAAAATTGCCGATAAAATTACCTAAATTAACACTTTAATTTACTTTACACAAATTAAAACTAAAAACACTAATAATTAACCACACTAATTCACTTAATTCCGCTCCGAAGCTTCGCTGGTGTCGCCGAGTTCAACTCTGCCCCGATCGCATCTTGCAGCGCCTATTTATATAATTAGCAAAGAAGCGTCCCGAACATTCAAGTAAATGCGCGCCAGGCAACGAGTATTCGAGTGTAGATTTTCCAGAAACTTAGTTCTTCGGGTGGCGCTGTCGGTCGAAAGATTTGTGATGTCATTTACTGCAAAGCTCCCCTCGCTCTCGTTCCTGACACTAGATGGCGCTAGTGCGCTGATTTGAGCGCGGCGTAACAGTACGTAAGATTTAATTACTTGAACTGTTTTTAGCATCATATGATCATAGCACATTTTGTCGCGAGTTGGAAGCCCATGGTAAGCAAGTGAGGTGAACTAATTAGAACAGTTTGTTCAATGGAGCAAGGTTTGAAGAGATGAGGTGTAGTCTTCAGTGTTTCGTATTGAGATATACGATATAATTATACCTACTAGAACTGTATCTATAAGGGTAAACACAATTGAGTTATACCATACTAGAGGAGCAAACTACATTACCGCGCGTCGAAATAAGTGTAACCACTATCCAAACGCGACGACGTAGCTTTGAAACTAATAACAATTTTAAATAAACATATATCTATCTCACTTACACAGTTGCGAAAACAATATCGTCGCTAAGATTAGATAAAGATAGGCACACAATGATGCAATGGCGGGTTGGTGCCGCTTACTATATGGAATTTTACCTAAAATACGCAATAAAAATGAGTTTTTTTTAAGCTGCAGTTAATTGTTTTTATATTAAAAAAGTATATTTTATTTTAAAATCTTTATTGCGTGCCCTTCAAAAAAGGATACAAAGCTTATCAGTTGAATAGAAGTAAACCTAATGATGAAACAAAACTTGTTTTTATAAGTATTTTTATTGTACTAATAAATCAAACAATATAAAATAGGTAATAAAATATAATTAATATAAAATTTATATAAATTATAATTATTATAAAATTATTAATATAAAATAGGTAATAAAACGTATTTAATATATAATTCATTAATAAACGAGAATAAGAATAATTAATTATTTTGTATGAAAGTACGTTTTACGTAGTTTTTATTATAATTTCCAAAATATTTAAAATAAGAGGTAACAAATTAACTTACTCCATTAATTATATAGTCTCCCATTAATGCAGGATAATCACAAATGCAGAAAAGTGGCAACATTGAACCTAAATGGCAATATTCGATAATTTTATTTAATTATTTGAGGTTTTTTACGTTTATATGAAAACAAGAACTAAAAATTATGTGTTGAAAGTGATTCCGCTTGATTTATTACGTTTTTGTGACCTTGAATAGCATTCGTTCACTACGCATTTACCCATTTTTTGTCGCGGCTCAACTCTGTCGGCGTCACATTGAACACTGAACTGACGTCAGCTAGGCATATGGCTGTGGCCATATGTGCAGTGGCAACGCTTTGACGCGGTTATTACTGATTATTATGTAATATATAAATCAATGGTAAACACAATACAAGAGGCATTTTAATGCAAGGTTCAGCATTTATTTCAGTTTCGTTATGGCACTATATTTGAGGTTGCACTGTATTTTTTGTAAAGTATATATTATAGTTATTATTAAGTGTGAGAATGGATATATTTTCACACAAAGGTGACACTGTCCTTTTCATCATATGGAAGCTAGTACGTCGCAATAAATGTTAAGTGAGTACAATGTTACTTGAAAAGTGTCAAATGTTTGCAAATACTCCTTATGTTTTGAGTGAGAATGGTTAAATGGTTAAATGTAGTCGTGTGAGAATGGCAATACTCAGACCTGCTCATAAAGATCTGGACAACTTCAGTGTTGTCTATATCTTCACCGGTTTGTAGCAAACTATCCATAATTAGTCAGAAAATGGTTTTCTTTTCTACTAGATCCATAATGACCTCTTTTGCGAGTATTACTATGGCTTGCATAAGAAGAGTATTCACTATGAGAAAAATATGGAAAATATTTTTTTTTGATATTCGATCAGGAGTCAACTTAAATTATTAACTTTTATTATTACTTTTCAATAAAACAAAGGCAAATTAGTTAGTAGGTATAAGATATGTGTAAAAAAGTGTACGGTGATTATTTTCGTGCTTATGAGTGTGAAATAGTGTGAAAGTGTGTAAATGATAGAGTGTGATATATACAAATAATTATGCATTATATGAAAAATATAAAACAAAAACAGAAACATAGGTAAACAATAATAAATATCAAACCAAAAGCATATTTTAGCTATAGATAAAAATAGTCATTTGTTGAGATACAGGTTTAGATTTGACATTCGATATCTATTTTTATGATCGACGACCTCTTATCCTTCCTCATCAAAACGTTTCCAAGCGACGTCCCACTTTGATCCCAAATGCTGAAAGTTGAGTTTATTATGTTTATTTTGAAAATTATACTTTTTTGCGCGCAATATATTCGTCTTCTGTTTGAAGGAGGACAATTTGACTGCTATTTCTGTCGCCCTTGTTAGAGGATCAATATATCTTTTATATCATTAGTTTGGATTCCAACTTTTTGTTCAACATTGTGGTACCATTTTACTAATTTTGTTTAACTGTTAATCTTCGTACATACATATTAGTTGTAATTTAATTTTGGAATCTAGCATATTATATTGATAACAAAGATAATATAATCACTATGTTCAGTAGTCATATACAAGCTGTTTACGGATTCGATGTTGAAGTAAACCGCTCTCTTACTCCGTGAACATCGATGGATATTGCAGACTCAAAGGTGATAGCACGCCTGTAGCTTTTTATTTTAAGTTATTTGCGGTAAGCAATATAAGATTATCCACTATCTCATATCATCCCTAAAATGTCGTAAGAGGTGACGGAAAAACATAACCTCAGTAAGTGGTAAAATTAAAAAAAATTATACTCTCTTCAATATAAGGACAACTAAGAACTACTTGTCAGATCTTGATCAAATTTATATGAAACCGCATGAGAAGCACCAGATTTCAAATAAAAAAAGAATCCTCAAAATCGGTTTACCTAGAAAAAAGTTATGAGGTAACACATATAATAAATACCTCACCTCATAATAAAAATAAAATATACCCCATAATTTTTCAGAATTAATTTCACATTAAAAATACTTTTTTTAAGTCGGTTTAAAACATCTGAATAAAAATAAAACCTACGATTGCCAACCTGCTTGCCAAACTTGGCAATTATGGCCAATATCCTTCCAGTGAGGCAATCTATGAGGAAGGCGTATGTTCAGCAATGGACTTTTGAAAGAATGTAATAGTAATACTAGTATTTGCAGGTTTCATCAATGGGGTCGTGTTGTATTAATTAAGATTTAATCAATTTTAATTACTTTTGAATTCTATTATTTATTAATGCCCGAATTTTATTAAATAGTGTACAAGAGACGGATGGATCTTATTTTGAGAGCTTCACTGCACTATCTTGGAGACAAGAGAACAGGAGACTTGCTGCGCTTCGATTGGCTGAGGCGAGAGCCGAACGTCCACCCCCCGCGCCACATGAGCTTGGCCTGCCAAGCGTTTCCGCACAACTGTCACATAAAGAACACGAACATTTATACACTGAGGTAAAATCTTACAGTACTGCTGTTACTTGATTTATTTTTCGTGCTATATGTGTTGTATAAATGAATATTAATGGGGATTTCTGGGTGATTGATTTGTGATGACCTGAGTTTTGACACTTAGGTTACCTCCGATTTTATCGCTTGAAAGTTACATCAGGCACGGCTATGTTAGGACGAGTAATTGTTCTTGTTTGTGTAGACCTGCACAGCACCTAGCATCCGACTATTTAGAAGTTGTCACGAACGTGTAAGTGAATGAACAAGTGAAACAAAGTGAATCGTAAGCTTTGTGCTTATTCTCTACTTAAAATTTTGATTACAACTTTTAGATCTAAAATCAAGTTAATTAAGGTTAAATATTATTTATTGTAGATATCACAGAGTGAATTATAAACATAAATTTATTCCAAACTTAGAAAAAAAAAGTAATGGAACATAATTAATAACTTTAGTTAATAATATTTTAAAGATAAGTTCAGTTAACATAAAATCAATTTCACTCTCCGAGTTTATGAATCTAGTAGTCACGCATATTGTAACTGTACATTCACATTACACAATACATCGGCAGCTTTTAAATTTGACTGATGGACTCAGGCCCTTCCAGGAATGCGCCAGCTGGCATTTATTACTTGGTAATTTACACTTACTACCTTGGGCAGCCGATTTGAAAAGCGTACAGCAAATTACCTTCATGTCCATGCTGTTTCCAGTAATCAGTCTGTAAAAAAACGAGTCATGCATTTCAGTAGTTTATTTGCTATCACTCGGCGTCGGAATCCATTTGTCAATCAGCTGGATGCCGTTGCGGTCGACTGTTCCAGAAAAAAGTTGGCATAATTTTCCAACTTGCACCCAGTCATAAGTTATAAGTTACGTTATAGTTATTAGCTAATTATGAACATACAAATTTTACTTTGTACCTAGTTTTTTTTTAATGATTATGTTTTTTTTATTATCTGCCCAATGTTACACGCCCTTTCAGCGATCAGGAATAAAAAATTGCCCTGTGATTTTAACATGATAATTTAAAATGATATGATTTTTAGCAATAGTTTTTCTGTAAACTAAAAAGCAGTTACTGTTGACTATATAAAATAAATTAAACTTATTTGTGTTTAGTCTTTCAGTAAAGTTAATTATGGATTTAGTTTAAAATTAAAAAGGGCATGATTTGTAACCATTTCTTTTTCTATAAACTAAAGGGGCAGTTACTGTTGACTATAAAAAAAATTAAACTTATCTATGTTAAGTCCCGTTCAGTAAAGTTAACTATAAGTTTAGTTACTGTACATAATAGTAGTCTAGATACTCGTAATTGACTCCAAACACGCAAGCTTCCTAATATTTTTTATCATCGCCTTGTACGTCAAATCAGTAATAATATGCGTTAAATTTTCAGTTCAACAAAGTTTTGTTATAATGACGTAAATGTTTGAACAAACCAATTCAAAGCTACTGATTTTTTTTTAATTACAGCAGCTGGCTACGAAACAGAACATAACTTAAATATACATGTATACTATAAATCTTCAGGTTTCAGTATAATTTATTGAAATTAGCGTACTAAGCATATATAAAAAAAAACGAATTACAATTAAACTGAGCCGTAGTAGCTCAGATAGTTAACGCTCGCTGTAAATATAACCGAACGCGAGTAATCCGGGTTCGATCCCCGCTGGCACTGGCACACCAATGAAATTGTTAAATGCAATTTTAAGTTCTCATTTACCACGTGCTCGGCGGTGAAGGAAAACATCGTGAGGAAACCTGCATGTCTGAGGAATAAGAAAAAAAATATTTCGAAGACATGTGTGGCAGTGCGGCGGACACTTCCTTGCCCTAAAACCCTCTCAGAAATGAGGGGAGGCCTGTGCCCAGCAGTGGGACGTATATAAGCTGTAACTTTACTTTTTACTTTTAAACTGTAATGTAGGTAGCTTTTACGTTATTTTTAGTACATTATTTTAATATCAACAGGTACTATATTGCATTGAGAATGCAGTTGGGGCTCCTGCACCAGATGGGCAGTTCACTGCGTACAAAGAAGAAGTGATTGAATACGCTCGCCGTGCATTCCGTGTCCCACCGGAAGTGCACGCTCGTGCTTTGCGAGCTGCTGGTAGTGAGCGCCCGCCCACTGTTGTTCTCGGCTGCGCTGTCATCGAGGCTGATGGACTGGAGGCCAAGGACGCCAACGGTATAATTCTTAAATATATAGAAGTAGTTGAGAAAATTGCAACGTAGTATTATTTTACATTATATCTTTCTGATTTACGCTAAGATTTTTTTTATTATTTTGGAGTGAAATAGATAGTTAATTATTTTTATTAAAATCCCGTTTGGAAGTCGTTATAATGGTTAAAATTTTCAAAAGAGGAAATTTTATATTATATTATTTTAAAGTCCCTATAGTATGATTCTATTGTATTTACATTCGTAGGCTTAATGAACTACAGATTTTATTTAAAAAAATGATTTTCTACAATTCCATTAATAAATATTTTCTCAAATGAAGCATGATTATTTTATTACTTTGAAGTATCTTGTTTGATTTTTCAAACTCTATAAACAGACTCAAAATTCCACCACAATAGAATACTATTTGAAGTCAATTATTTATGTTTTTATTGATAATCTTTGTGGATATTCTTTGGTAGCTTTAACTTTAATAAAATATGATTATTACATTTAAAAAACTAATAACTAAAACTGTCGTACAATCCTACAATCCTACTCCGAGTTACAACAATGCCAAGAGCGCTGGCTGCGTGTTCTCGCTAAATAGCTGCAGTATAAGGGCCGATCCTCATTTGCCATTCACAGTTAGTTCTCGGTCCGATCTCGGTCCGATCTATTATAATGGAGTGGGATTCGACCGAAACTTGACTGTTACGGATAGTATGAATGCACACACATATTTTTTACCTGATAATATTTTATCAGACTGAGATCCGACCGATAACGAACTGTGAACGGCATTTTAATGAGGATCAACCCTAACTGACACTATACCACGGAGAGTAGGACTGCATGGCATTATCCTTAGTTAAGCAATTAGTAAGATTATTTATTGCAATACATATTGCAAGTACTATAACTCTGTAATAAAGTAAATTTAAATTATTGGATGAAAATATGAAAAAAAAATAGTGTAATGTGGTGATGATTTAGACGTAGTATGTTTACTAGGATTTAGCGATCCGTATTGCATGCTCGGAATCCAACCAGCATCGTTGCCTGCCTCTCCTCGGGCCTCTGAAGACGAAGGTCGCAAGCATGGTTTTCGGCTCAGTTTCAAGCGTCGAGAAGGACGTCAGCAGCGTGACAGCCTTGGGAGATTGCCTGCACGTTACATTCGCGCCACTAGTGTTAGACCACACACATTATCACCCAAATGGAATGAAACATTTAAATTGTAAGAGAAATGGCACATTTTATATTTTTATTATGCATTTTTTCAATCAACCACGTACTTTGGACGTATTTTTTCCTTAAATAATTGGTAGTTATGAAATGTATATGCATTTTAAAGATATTATTAAATAAACTCTTTAAGTAATGAGTAGATAAGGTAATTTACATATTGATTTCTTATATTTACGCGAACACTACACATTTGAATAAAACTAGCACCATGGTCACGGGGGAACCATGGGTGCAGTAAAGTACACGAAACGTCGGGAATATAAAATAACTTAATACGCGATAAAATCCGTGAAAACTAGTTTCATTTCATTTATATATTTTTATTAAAATGAATTCGCTTATCAATATATTTTCGGATAATTATTTGAAGGTTGTAGATATGCGTTACAAAAATTGTGATACAGTTAAGCTTAATTAATGTGTAAGTATGGGAAATAGTAAACGAATTTTTTATACTTCTTAAATATCTCTGCGGCAGTGACATCGATGATATTTCGTCGGATGTGCTACACCTGGATATTTGGGATCATGATGACGAGAGTTCTGTGCTAGACGCTGTATCACGCCTTAATGAAGTCCGTGGAGTTCGGGGTTTAGGACGATTCTTTAAACAGGTCTGCCAAAGTGCACGACAGGGCAGCCAGGATGATTTTCTCGGTAAGTATTTCCTGAAAAATTACCATAGAATGCTTAAAATATTGACCTTGACGTTTTTTTAAAATCTAACATAAAAATATAAGCATTAGACAATAAACTGTTTGGTTTTGACCTAGGTACTATGTTATTGCTCTAAGGTCTTTATATTTAATACCTATAAACAAAAACAAATATTTACTTACAATAGAAAAAATACTCGCATGATAAGCTAAGGATATGGTCTGGTTGGTTAGCTCTGTCTTTTAATATAACATTATTCCGTTTAGGATGCGTAAATATTCCATTACGTGAAATCCCATCAACCGGTGTGGAAGCTTGGTACAAGCTAGATGCTCGATCACAGCGCTCATCAGTACAAGGTCGTATTCGGCTACGTTTGTGGCTCTCTGCTCGCGAAGCTGGGCGGCATGATGATGACAATTGGCAACAGGTAATTTGGCTTAGAATGTTTATCCTTTAAATACGTATATAACTGTTAGCTATTTTAAGTACATGACAACAGTATGACAATCAAGATAATCGTGTGCATTACTAACCAAGAGCAAAAAGCAAAACTAAAAATATATTCTATTTTAAATAAATATAAATATAACCGTGTTAAAATATAAACAAAATAGGATATTATTTAATTATTATTTTGTTTTGTTTATGTATATAAATTATATATATATTATAAATAATTATACATATTCTTGTACATATTTAAACTCTCGCGCCTGTTACCCAGAGGGGGAGGCAGTAGAGACTATGGTCTTCCGTTTGTCACGATCCTGACACACCTCTCTCACTCGCTTCACATCCATATACTTAAGATAATGGCACAAACGGATACACAATCAACCTGATGGTAAGTGGAGATGCTGTGGCCCATAGACACATACATACATCTATCCTCGATTAAGAAACAAAATACTATTTTACGCTTCTATTACACCAAAGATACGAAATTTTAAATAATACAGTATATTTTAACTTTAGCTGATCATATTCATGTCTAAGAATTAATCATAGAAAAATACGTAGAGTTTTGATACTTCATATACCTAAAATTTTTTATAACAACAAGAAAAAACTTATATCTTGATATACCTATGAAATATTAAAAGATTCTATAAAAATTTTCCTGTTCAAAAACCCGAATAAAAAGTGTGTAGAGGCTTTAATCAAGGAGAGGAGACTCTCTCACCAAAATTATTCATTCTTGGTACTTATTACGAAAAGTTTCGGTGATGACATAATGTTGTTTTCGGAGTCAGCAACCTAGCTTGAATCAATTTTATATGATCTACTAAGAAACTTGCGAACTATTGGGTTGGAATGAAACTAAATACCTCACAAAACTAAGATGAGCAACTACTAGAAAACATTACTATAAAATTATGGCCTTCGATAATATAAAAAATACCTAAATTTTGGCAAACTTTTATCTTTCGGAAAAAAAGTGAAACGAATAATGAAATGCAGTCATTATACATATATCGTACAAACTTGGAAAGCAAAGGCGATTTTTAAGGTAAACAATATTTCATTAATAGTATATTTCATTACGAGTGCGGAAAGCCTGTCATTGCAAAGAGTTCCAACAAATGTCTACCCGAGCCGAGGCGCAGTCGAAGGTGAGGGTTGACAGTCGGAACAAGTTGCAACGAAGGTTCCGCAAGTGTACTGAACAACTATTTTTAATACAATTGCGCAAAAATGAAGCAATTTAATAAAATAATAAAAACACAATAAACTCAACGAACTAATAATTTATTTCTTATGAAAGTTACAATTCACATATACATTGAAATTGATACAGTTTTTTATACTAACTGGTGGAGTTTTAGGTTGCATTGAGACAAACTATTATTAACTTTGTATGATTGTTCATGTATATTTGTCAAAGGTGTTATAAAATGGCATTTGCTAGTTGATGGACTTTGATCCGATGTATTATCATTTTCAACGAAGGTAGATGGACAAACGTTCTTTTCAGTATTGTCATGTGAATGAAACGGTCTGGGCTTTAAATTAATGGATTGTATGATTTTTTTACCAGTTTCTAGTTTGTTGTTTAATAAATCAGCAATATAGCCTTCTGCAACTTTGTCTGACTTCCAACCTCCTAGTCGCTTTAAGAACCTCAAATTGGCTTCTGAATCTGCCAATAATGTAGCAGAGGTCCTACTGAAGCTGTGCCCAGTATACAGGATGTTAGTGTAAACACCGTTATCCTTGAAACCAGTGGTTTGGTTTCACTTATAGAACGTAAATTCAATGAATTTAAAAAACGCTATTTTCTTTCATAAAATTTAAAAAGTTTCTGTCCGACACCGTCCGTAAATTCATGGATATGCGCCCGAGTGACGTAACCACTGTAAAGATCACCGCCCGCACTAGCTACCTACACTACATTCCAATAAAAACACAATAGGTACACATAACCTGTTATGTAACTTTTCCTTCATACTTTCATCCTGGCTTAGGACAGGCAAAAATTGAGGAATTAAGAAAAAATTGAGATTTTACTAAAAAAAATGTTGTTATTTTTCATTGAATTTACGTTCCATAAGTGAAACCAAACCACTGGTTTCAAGGATAACGGTGTTTACACTAACAGCCTTTATAATACTCAGCATCCGGCAAACCAAGAAACGTAGCTATTTCTTTTGGCATATTACCACATTTGTTTATCCCGATTGCTTGAGCTGTACACTTCCCGTTTTGATAATTTTGGAAAAACGGTCGGTTTTTTCTTTTTGGGACCGCTGATTCATATATATTTGCACTATTCTAAGAAAATCTCCTTCAAAAACAAAGCTTCTCGGTGTCTTATTTTTTGTATTCGGAATCTTGATTACTAGCATTTTTCCATGGGCTTCAATATCTTTTAAAGTAATATTGGCTAACTCCTCTCTGCGGCAGCTCCAACAACGCCAAAAATCAGCGCAACCTACAAAAAATAGGTATTTGATTCATATTTTTTTAAATAATATATTGACTATCGATTTGATATCGATTTCGTATACTGAATACTAAAGAAAAATATAAGTATTTATTAATAAATTACCTTTGTGGGTAAATAACGATCATCGGGAGCTTCGTTCAAAAATCTTTCCACTTCATTCGATGTTAATATTATCGAATTTTTAGTTGTAAAACCGTCTGATTGTCGTTTTAAGAAAGCATTTAGTTTTAGGTATTCATATATATCCACGTTGTTCCTTGTTTTCAGAATACTGTTTATCATTGAAAACCTCGACCATAACGTAGAAGGTTTTAATTTTGCTGAGAGTTCGGAGAAGTATGCCAACATAACATTTTCTGAAAAACTATTTGCATTTTTCTCTTCTCTCCAAGCAATAAATTCGTCGTTTGTAGATATGTAGCGACTTTTTGACTTTTCCAGTAAAATGTTCTCCGAAGCATTTTGTGCCATTATACTGAGTTCCGGTGGTGTTAATTCAAATAAAATATCGTCGAAATTACTTATTTGTGCAACTAAGTAAACTCGCAAGGAAATTTTTGGAAAATGGCGCCAACCGTAAAAGAATAAAAGCAGAGATTTTTTTGTTTTCTTCACCCATTATGGGTAGGCAAAGGGAACTATTCCCATACAGCCAAGTCTTCAGAAGAATTTTTTATTGATATGAAATGAAAATGAAATTTAATGAGATGAAATGAAATGAAACCTAACCTAACTCATTGAATGAAATCATTAAATCTGATATTGAAACAAATTAGTAGCTTCTTTTTAGAAATATTTGCATGAATCATAAAAACTTCTATGAATTTTTTCTAGTAAAAACTTCGTAGTTGGTTTTTTCTTTTTAATAGACATTATTTTTATAGTTGGGAAAGAGAACACACGAGTTCGGAAAAGGTAAACAAAAAGCTCGAGTATGTAATAGCCCACATCCCTAACGCTATATAATCCTGCAATACGCCACTTTTTGAGCAACTGTATTAAAAATATGTTTATTTCAATAATATCATTCTTTAGAATAGGCAAAATATTTTTTATGGTAAAAATTCCTCGGTTTAAATTTTTGGACTTTAAACGTAAGTTCTTTTAGGTAATTAAGTTATTTCAATATGCCCAAACACAATGCTGTAAATATTTTATCTGTAAAACAGAAATAGGTATAATAAATTAAATTTGATGTGTTTTTAGTAATTTTGATCATTTCAAAATCACAAAGGTACGTCAGCATGAACGTCTCTTTGGCGTACTCCTGGCCCACGAAGTCGAAACAAACTTTCTTAACAACACGGAAGATAGAAAGGAGGGTGAAGGCTGCGCCAGCGGCTCCTGGGAGGGTGACCTTTGTGGTGCAGCTCAGACGTTGTTACACCAACATGCTGTACAAGGAGACCTTAGCACTCTTCAAGCTGCTATTGCTCGATTTGCTGCTGCATGCCGCCTAAATAGCGACGCGCCTTTGGACCCAAAGTAAATATTTGAACAAAATTCCAATTCAGAATTTAACTTTACTTTAGTAAACCATAAGTTGAAAACATATATCAAAAATAATACCATAATATTAAAATATAATATATTATATGTAAGAGCACATACAGCTATAACTTTATTCTCAGCATAATGCATCGTGGATGCAGAACGAGTGTTTAAATTTAACATTAAGAACGATAAACAAATTCGTAGGTATATGTACAAGTTGCTAACAGAGTTGGAAAGAACATGGATTGCACATGAAACATTGACTGGGGGTGGAAGTGGCGATTCAGGAGCAGGAGCGTCACGCGATGAAGAGCGTTGGCTAGCTGATTGCTTCGGGGAGTTTGTAGAGCGAGCTTTGCATCAACTTCGACTTCACAGAGATTTGTATCCGGTCCTCCATAACTTAAGCTTGAACCAGTACGTACCTTAAAAATGTTTGAGCATTTTTATAAGTTAAAAAATTTCGATGTATATTTAAAATTAAAATTCAAATGTTATTATATGAATATTTGGTAAATATACAACCTATTACTCAATTAATTTAACTTAAATATTTAATTACATTATATATGTAATTGGTTAATGCTTTTGCATAATATTTTTAATTAGGTAATGTCTTAGGAATTATTAAAGTGAAACATTATAGACTGATGATTTACATTATCACTTACACATCTTTGTTTTTTAAGATAAAAAAGAATACTTTCACTCAATGAGCTCTAGGTAATGATATTCCACAAGCTGGGGTGACGAACTTTTTTTCAGGTCCTTTTTAATGTATGTTTGTATGTTTGTTTACGCCCGCTAAAAAAATTAATTAAATTTCTAACTCAATATTCGGTTTTGCGTATATTTAAAGACACATAACACTAAATACATAAATTTCAGGTCTCTAAGTCATTTCGTCAGATCTGATCTGATAAGATTGGGAGAGAGAGAGACCTTCATAGGGCTCCGTTTTACCCTTTGGGTGTAGAATCCTAAAACTGTTAAAGTAATGCACAAAATATGTTCAGGAGCTGTCGACGTAGTTGTATGTAATGTATAAAAAATAAAGTAAAAGTAAAAAATAAACAAAACTTTCAGGACAACGAAGGGAACGATAGATTCTTATATAATTAGCAATTGAAATTGGTATAGGTCTATATTGGTAAACTTAAAGATTTGAACATTATAACTAGTTATACGAAATAGGGTGAATGCTTACTTTGTGAAAACCCAAATATTATAATTAAAAAAACATGAACTAGCTATACAAATACCAAATAATATTCTTTGCAGGTTAGAATTTTTGTTGCGATGTCTAAATCAATTAGCGCAAATGAAAGCTTTCTGGCGATGCTGTCCGTTCAATAAGGAAATAAGGTTAGTTAGATTTCTAATATTGAGTTAGTCTCTATTACTTTAGCTTTGAAAATAAAGGCTTGACGGTATATCAGTATAAAAGATAACTACTACAACAAAAGTCAATTATTTCGTTTACTTAAACCGATTATAATATAACATTTTTTTGTAGAAGTGAAGTGGTTGGCGCACTACGCAAAGGCACTGCGGAGTGGTACGAAGCACTTTGTGCTCAAGATACTAAGTCGGAGCGTGGTGAGGATTTAGTGAACCTTATTACACTGGTTCAGATAGATCTGCAACAAGGACTTACTTATTATCATCCGCTTTTCGAAACGTTAGTATAATTCATAACTGTGATAAATAGTAATATTCATCGTCAATAGATTTCACAGCCTGTTAAATAGTTGTGTAATCATATCTCATATCACGGCATGCACAACGTCTAAGACGCTGTTATTATTATCGGTCTGAACATTTTACGCCTTCGTCCCACACACTTAAGCAAAAGAAACTAAATATATAATTTATTGGATATTTTTTATTGGACAGTTTATGCGGTTACATAATATAGTACTTTATTTTATACTTGATTATGCTTTACCTGTTATAAATCAGTGCTTCACTGGCTCCCACCTCATCTGATCATCAGATTCTGATGGTAAGTGGTAATGCATCGTAGATATCTTTTATTAAGGAAAGCCTTTAATATAAATCATTTTTGCCCTGAAAACACTCACATTTGTTATATGTAGAAATAAGTGTGGAGTACTGTCCACTTGATAGTAAGCGCATGCGTAGGTCTTGACATTTATCTTTGATTAAGAATCAAAATGCAGATGTGTTGTCATACCTGAGGACTAAGACGAAACGTTTCGTTGCCAGCAATATCCCTGAATCTGGAATCTCGTTAATCACCACATGGACATAGCAACATATAGTGCAATTATACGCTGATGCTTTCTTTTATGTAAGCTCAATATATTCCCACTCGAATCACAGTGCAGTTATACCACTTAAAATAATAATCGGAGGAAACTTAAATATTTTTATGAGGGAGAAAATAAGCATATAGGTATTTGTCAATAATAATCTTCCAATGTTTGTAGGTTTAACACGCAATTCCTATGGATTGTAAAACATAATTATATGACTTCAATAATATCTATATATTTATGGTAAGTTAAATAATTTATGATAACGATGGATGCAGGTGGATCAGGATCGTCCTTTGTGGCATTTCTTGTGGGAGGCCTATGTTCAGCAGTGGACTTGTAAAGGGACGTAATCATGATGATAAATATTTACGGTTTAGTTTTGTAACCAAGCAAATGTTAATTTGATAATTTTGTTATGAAAAATATTCGAAAACAAGCTAACAGTGTATATGTTTGTTGCAGAACGAATAATGTTCCGTATTTTAACGTTGTATTCACACAAATAGACAAAATGGTAAGTTCAAGAAGTTGTTTGCATGGTTTTTGCTTAGCTTTAAATCCGAGCGCTCCGTCTATCTTTCTTTATTTTTAAAATACTAATATTATAATCTGAATTTATTTAAAAGTAATCTGAAGCTACCGACATGAATATAATATATTATTTGTTGTGTTACATAATTGTTATATGTATAATTTTTACTTGTGATAAAATTGTAAATGACTTCATATGATAATATTCAAAACTAGCTATACCAACGGTATCATACGCATCCAGAAAGCAACAATTGAAATTCTATTATGTAATAAGTACATTATAATTTTGAATAACATTCAAACTTACTGCAGCAGGGCGGCGTAAAAATTGATCCACAGTCTTCTTAGAAATGAGAGACCTGCAATTAGCAATGACAAATAGACTGTAACTTTACTTTTTACATACTTGTAATGACATTGTCTTTTATAAATAAATAATTAATTTAGGTTTATAACTAGAGAAAGAAAGAATTAAAATAATACAGATGAAACAGATGTAAGTTAAATTAACACTTAGATGCACATTTACAAATATGGCTATGGAGGAAGATAAGAATTTAAATTCGTCAAAAAAATGATTGGCCTCTTTTCCGTTCCTTGTTTTGGTTGTTACTCCTTATAGTTTTTCATACCAATATACAGTACCGGACGTACAGGTATCGGGGATTCACATACAGTGTACAGATTTTTGAGTCCTATCACGTGATATCACCACGTAGATGTGGCCGTGCGCAAAACAGCCGATACTGAAATCCACACCGGCCACTCTCTACGCCTGGTCTTGCACTTTGTTCATGTTTTTAGCGTAACATAAGATGACTGGACACTTAATTTTTAAAATCAGCGATCGGACTCAACTAATACCAACTAAGAAAAACCATAAAAACATGACAAATGAAAAGCATTTGAAAAACTGACTGACAAATAATGACGTCAGCCTCTCTTTTTTAATAGGGTTTTTAATGGATTATCGTTTTACATTTTACTCTTTTTATATACACTATTTTCACGCTTATACAATTATTTAATTAAATTACGCCTATAAAGCTACCTAGCTTTGCTATTTCTTAGCTCGGCAGCTTTCGCAGCTCGGCAGCTTTATAGGCGTAAGAAATAGCGCGCGTCACGTCAGGTGGAGATCGCGCAAGAGTCACTTTAAAATTGGATTTTTTTTAAATCATTGAAGTTAACAGTTTTCCTGTCCACGAAATAGACACAGTAGTTAAACAATAATAAATTCTTATATGTTTTATCGGACAAGGAAAGGGTTAATTAAACACTTAATGTTAACCCAAACTTATCTCAATTCATCACTTAAAACCACATTCACAACACAAATGCACAGAAAAACTGTTTACAATTCCAGTATTTGTATTGTAAGGACGAAATGTTCTTTATGACGCGTTCGGAGGAAGCATCTTGTGATTATATTACATCATATTTTCAATAGTTTCAAAATCGAACATCTGTGTCATTTTTTTAAATTTTAATAATATAATATGTACTAAATAAAATAAAAATGTCTAAACAACAGGTATCCGAAGATGTAAGACTATGTGTAGAACACTGGATAACAGAGGGTTGGTGCGGCGTAGCTGAAGAAGAGATATATGATGAACACGGAAATGGGAGTAAGGGACTTTTAATCAAAACTTTTAATGAATTTGAACGTGTAGCATGATGAGCTATAATATACATATTAATTTCACAGTGTGTGTTGTATCGGCGAAGACATTACCGTTTGAGTTGCTGGCGGCAGTGCGCGAGTTATCCGCCGCTGCTGCTCCAGCGCCTTCCCCTCACCCCGCTACGGACCCCCCACCGCAGCTGCTGGAGGCTTACTTGTAAACTTTTTTAACATTAATAATGATGCGTAGCAACTATCATATTATCTTCATGCCTCAAATTGTTTCTAATGAACATCGTCTATTAAAAAAACGATTTGACACACGATTAACGGACGCTTGAAGCACAAACTATGTATATCCAAAAGATAAAGGGCGTGAACGATTTACAATTATGAATATCGAATATTTAAAGATATGTATGTATGTATTTATTTTGTATAATTTGTTTATAGTTAAAATTAAGTTTTATTTTCGCCACACACGGTCAGTTCAACTGATCATTCCAACTGATCAGTCCAAACGAGGCTTGTTGATATTTTTAAAAATATCGGATATTCGATATATCTATAATTATAAGTACATATATCAATATCGAGTTTTATATATAAGTTTATTTATCGATATATTGAAAATCCGATTGAACGGAAACCCCAGTTGGTCAGAAACTAAGCTGAAATTAATAAATACAGAAAATACTAATAAATACAGTAAATGCTGCTCGCTAAAATTTTAATAGATCAATATCGAGTATTCTCGTTGTCTCTAGTTTGTTGATTAAGTTAGTTCTTCACGTTTGCTTGCTACTTTGCCTAATATTTCCATGGCTATTACTTCCGACACTATCAGCAACCAATCAGGCGATAAGTCTCCAGAAAACCCCCAACTAAGACGTTTTGTTTAATCGCCACATAGTAAATCATCGCCACTTAGGCATCCACAAAGTGGAGGTTCATTCGATTTTGTATTATAGAGATCAGAAACAGAAAAATACAAAACCAGCTTCTAAGATGAGACTCACAACAGCTAGATTTATAGGACAAAAGATAGGTTAAAAAAGTCACCTTTTTGACATCAAATGTGAACTAACTTTTCGTTTTCCAAAAAAAAAACTTTATTTTGCAGATCTTGAGATTGGAGTGTTGTAATTGGACTTCGACTTTAATTATATCCTCCCTTAATGATTTCTTATATTTACGCGAACACTATACATGATTAAAACTACTTTTACGGATTTTATCGCGTTTATTTTTACTTTTTATTTACTTTTATTTTTATTTTTAATTCCCGACGTTTCGGGCGCTTTCCAGCACCCATGGTCACGGGGGGACTGAGATGACTGACGTCCCGATGTCATTGTTAAACCCAGAGTACCTTCAGCTTTTTTAATTATTGTTTATGGTCCGATCTATGCAAAATGAACTGACTATGTCCTGAGGTCTTGCAGTGGTATGCTTGGGTTTAGTTTTAATTTTATTGATTATAGGATCCCAAGCAGGTGGTAGTACCCAGCCTCCTTCTCTATTGAAATTAGGATGTTTTTTTAATTTCAATAGCCTTACGTATCATCCTTGGTAGGAATCGGTGTTCTTTCGCGAGGATTTGTGGTCTATCAAATCTGATGTAATGGTTGGGTCCGTCTAGGATATGATCACAAACTGCAGACTTCCCGGAACGTTGATGCTTCACATCAGCTATATGTTCTTTTACGCGGGTCCTAATTGATCCTTTTGTTTGTCCTATATAAGAGAGACCACATTCACAATCAAGCTTGTACACTCCTGCATCTTGTAGAGGAATATGACACTTGACGGATGGTAGGTACTGACTAATCTTCTTCGGTGGCTTGTAGAATGTTCTAATAGAAGCTCGCTTCAAGATATAGCCAATCTTGTCTGTGACACCTCTGACATATGGTAGTACAGCAGGTACACGCTCGACTGTGGCCGGCTTCACTCGGTCACTGTGACGTAGGCGCGGGACCCGAAGCTTGTTGTCGTGCAGAACTTGCTTGACGTGCTGAAGCTCGGCGGCCAGGTGTTTGCTGTCACAGATCCCTCGTGCTCTCTGTAACAAAGATTTGCCCACGGTAGCTAATTGTGAAGGATGGTGGTGAGATTCATCGTTTAAATATCGGTTTGTATGGGCCCTTTTCCTATACACAGTGTGACCAATGGTGTTATTAGGATTTCGGATGACTAACACATCTAGGAAAGGTAAGGAATTATTTGCCTCTAACTCCATAGTAAATTGAATTTTAGAGTTTATGGAATTAAGATGTTCTAAAAATGCAGTTACTTTGTCTGATGGTAAAATTGTGAAAGTATCGTCTACGTACCACTTGTAGATCCTTGGTGTAACAGGTGCAGTAAGGAGGGCTTTCTCCTCAAAGTCTTCCATGAATATATCGGCGACAATGGGAGATACAGGTGAGCCCATCGCAACACCATCTACTTGCTTGTAAAACTCTTCCTTCCACAATAGATAGCCACAACAAGCTTCGGGTTCCGCGCCTACGTCACAGTGACCGAGTGAAGCCGGCCACAGTCGAGCGTGTGCCTGCTGTACTACCATATGTCAGAGGTGTCACAGACAAGATTGGCTATATCTTGAAGCGAGCTTCTATTAGAACATTCTACAAGCCGCCGAAGAAGATTAGTCAGTTCCTACCATCCGTCAAGTGTCATATTCCTCTACAAGATGCAGGAGTGTACAAGCTTGATTGTGAATGTGGTCTCTCTTATATAGGACAAACAAAAAGATCAATTAGGACCCGCGTAAAAGAACATATAGCTGATGTGAAGCATCAATGTTCCGGGAAGTCTGCAGTTTGTGATCATATCCTAGACGGACCCAACCATTACATCAGATTTGATAGACCACAAATCCTCGCGAAAGAACACCGATTCCTACCAAGGATGATACGTGAGGCTATTGAAATTAAAAAACATCCTAATTTCAATAGAGAAGGAGGCTGGGTACTACCACCTGCTTGGGATCCTATAATCAATAAAATTAAAACTAAACCCAAGCATACCACTGCAAGACCTCAGGACATAGTCAGTTCATTTTGCATAGATCGGACCATAAACAATAATTAAAAAAGCTGAAGGTACTCCGAGTTTAACAATGACATCGGGACGTCAGTCATCTCAGTCCCCCGTGACCATGGGTGCTGGAAAGCGCCCGAAACGTCGGGAATTAAAAATAAAAATAAAAAGTAAATAAAAAGTAAAAATAAACGCGATAAAATCCGTAAAAGTAGTTTTAATCATGTATATCCTCCCTTATTCTACTCTTAATACTGATATGTATGGTCGGAAAGGGATCTTAGGCAAAAATTTAACGGCAAAATTAGCAATTTTTTGAAAAAAAATTGCCAAATTAGGAATACCCTCAACCGACGAGCATGTATGCGTAGGTATATGGATGTGAAGGCGGCGAGAGAGGTGTGTCAGCTTCGTGCCAAATAGAAGTCTGTAGTCTCAGCCTACCCTTCTGGGTGACAGGCGTGAGTGTTTATGTATGTATGGTCGATAAGGAGGAGGGCTACACGACACTGCAAGATGATGAAATAATATTAAGGTTTATTTGTTGATTTAATTGTTGTATATAAAAAAAAATCCTTTTTTACTTTCGGTAGATTGACCCACATGTGTAATTTTTGTTTATGTTTATAGTTGGTTCGAGCCTTTAATTGATCGCTGGCTAGCGGTGACAAAGACCATGGCATTGCAGAGAGTGCGCGCAGCTGTTGAGCTAGGTAAAAATAAATGCATTATGCTGTAAATGTATTGACTGAATGCATTATAGGTGGTAAAACCATGCTGCAGTTATGTTAGTAGTATAGTTGTAGCACGAATGGGTCGGCTTAACCAGGGAAGAATCACACTATCACAGAATACCAGCGTAAAACAGTAGCTTAATGCTGCTGTGTTTCATATGGTGAATGTAGAGAACCGGAGACCCTTTTAACTGGAAACGACGCATTCCATCTTAGTCCTCACGGGTGACAACGCATCTGCATTTTGATTTGTAATCGAGGATAAATGTAGATGTCTATGCGCCACAGCAAACTCTTACCATCAGGTGGACTGTGTGCTCGTTTGCTACCCTATCCTATAAAAAAATTATTAATAATGCAATTCATAAAAATGTTTAATTATTTTATTCGTCGTTTTGTATGTTTTTCTATTACTATATGCTTTTTGATTTAAGGTCATTATGCGCAACTTTTCGCTTGTCTTATTTTCAAAAAATCACTAGATATTAAGTATAAAAGTAAAATGTACTTCATACATTTTGATTCCAGAACTCGTAAGATATAACTTTTACTGTCTTATTACGAATAGTAGTTTATAGTTAGTGTTCGGTTTAAATAAGTACCTGATTCAATAAAGAAGTACCATGGAAATTATACCAACTAAAATACCTCGGTTTAGTTTTATATATCTCGGTAATATTTTATCGAAGATTTAAATATTTAAAAGAATATTTATAAGATTGCGATATAGAGGAGCGTAAGGTACTACCGGTAAGGAGCAATATTCATAAGGGTTTTACTGATGTACAGATGACATAAAAGTCACTATTTTTAAAGCATACAGCCAATCTTTTTGCTGAGCGGCCTGTATGTGTAGGTAGGGGTTAGCTGTAGCTGCCACGAGCTTACAGCGCCCTTCACATTCAATAAAACCACGCTTTCAGGATGCTTTTGGGTCTGTTATGGCATTGCAGTGCTTCAAAAATATTCGCCAATGCTCAGGCTTACGGATTTCACGCTGTTATGCGATGAAAATTCATAAGTATTAAATAAATAAAAAAATGAATAAAAATTGTACTAATTGCGCCTCATTATTATAATTCCTCTATAAATAACACCAATGATAAGCTGTTTGTGTTTGTAACAATATAACACACTGGTACTCGTTTACTTGTGCTGGTACATTTATTGAAAGCAGCTAACGTTTTATCAAAACAAAGGATGGAAATTGTGTTGGATATAGTAGCTAAACGCGAGCGCAACGTTATTTCAACATAAATTAGTTCATCTAATTATAGTAAGGGCAACAAAAGGTTCGCACCAAGATATACCGACCATTTAGATAAATATCTACGTTAGTGTGGCACGAAACCATTAATTAGTCAGATACTGATGACAGAGTTCAAAAACAGCTGTGCTATTTACTACAAACGTTGTAGTTATTTATATTAGTATAATTAATTAAGACTTTTGTTCTGAGTCGAAAAATTGTATATGAATATTTATTACTTTAAATTCTATTCTTATTCATATACATATTTACGTAGGTACTTACTTATATTTTCTACAAGTAAAGCATGACAAGCCGTGGTAGCTCAGATGGTTACTGCTCACTGTAAATCTCACAGTACGCGAGCAACCCGGGTTTGATCCCCGCCGGCACGAATGAAATTGTCAATTGCAATTTTAAGTGCTGATTTAAAATGTGCTCGGCGGTGAAGGAAAACATACTGAGGAAACCTGCATGTCTTAGAAATAAGAAAAAGGAATTTTTAGAAGACATGTAAAGTTCGTCAACACGCATTGGGACAGCGCGGCGGACACTTCCTTGCCCTAACACCATCTCAGAAATGAGAGGAGGCCTGTGGCTAGCAGTGGGACGTATCGGCTGGTAAATGGATGATATAGCCTACAAGTACCAACATAATAATGCCCAAAGTCTGGTGGATTTAAAAAAATCAGAAAAAGTCCATAATTGGTATATAAACATATATCATCAGATATATCATCGGTTAAGTATTGTTGTCAGCCCTGGGCACTAAAATGGAATACCTCGTTACTAGTTTTTTTTATAGAGCAAAGGTGGAAAACGAGTACACAGGCCACCTGATGGTAAAAGAAAGCTGGGGGCCATAAACATCTACATCTATCCTCGGCTAAGAATCCAAATGCAGACGCATTGTCGTCCCTGAGGTCTTTACTAAAATGGATCTCTGGTTCTCTACATTGTGCTGGTATTTTGTGTGGGCGTGGTTCTTCCCTGGTCGAGCCGGGCTATTCGTGCTGCACCTTTGAGTATAAAACCAACTTGGTTTAATACTCAAAGTACTGCACCCATTATACAGATGAAGTGTGGCAATACCACGTACAATTATGTATTTTATATTAGACAATAATACGTTTTTATTATTAGAATTTTCATCATATTTATCTCTTTATAGATCGACCAGTGGAAGGAGAGCACTATGTAAAACACAGCACGTCGTCGGTGGACACAGGCGCTTGGTGAGCGTTTCATTTTAAAAAGTCAAAGACAAAGGCAAAATATTTCTATTTAAAATTGGCCTGTACAAAACACTTTTTATTACTTACAGCGAAATTACAATGGAAGAGGGATTGACGCAAAGAAATAAATAATTTTTATTAGGTCTTTATTCTACTGTTAAAATGCTTGTAAAGTCGTAGTTGACAGTCAAAGCCTCAGACCGTCAGGTGAAAGTTGCGCATCGAATAAATTGTAATCTGAATGAGTATAAAAGTAAAACAATAATTGAACTTTTTAACTGACTTAAAAAAAGAATTAGGTTGAACTTTTTTCTGGATTAATCGATTTCGATGCTCCCTTTTTATTTGAAAACTGGTACTTCTCATGTGGTCCCATATTAAGTTGATCAAGATCTGACTAGTCGTTTTTGAGTCATCTTTAACAATGCGTATTTAATTGACTTTGACTGAATTGATGTTCTCATTTTATTTATATTGAAGCCGGTTGAACATTATTTTTTATTTTACCACTTGATCATTTATACAATTGTAATTTTTAAATTGTTAATATTGTACTTTATTCTATGAAAGTTTTATCTGATGACTGCAACCAGCATTAATGACAAAAAACTTTATACGTAAATTATAATGAAATTTTATCGCACGACAGTAAAACAACTTATTATGTGTTACTGTCGGGCGATTAGAAAGAAAGAAAGAAAGAAATGCATTTTATTCAAGTTCAAACATGCAGCATAACAAGCAAAAAGTAGATATAAGCCAAAAGTATAAATACAACTAAATTAAAAGTAACTTAACATTATTATAAATTTAAGAAAACATTTTAAAAATACCCTATGCTGCAGCATGAAACTGTGAAACGGACCGGACTCAGTGATAGCACTGGTTTTCAGTCCAGCCCTTACCCAGAGGCAGCTCGGGCGGCTGAGTGCACGCTCGCTCTAGATGCCCGAAAATTCATAATAAACTATAAACATATACATATGCATACCCATACCTATATATAATTGGACTGAAAGCGGATTTATTATTTATTTTAAATTACTGGTAAATCCATTCACCGTTAATTTAGTAATAAAATTACTACATTAAATAATTATCATAGTTATTTTACCTGGATACTACGTCTTAACCAACATCTTTTTGTTCATTGAGTAGAAGTAATTTATATTTGTTTTTAAAACTATTAATCGTTGTAAGGCTACGTAAGGGAGGTGGCAGATTGTTCCAACACTTTGTTGCATTGTATTTAAAACTACCTCTGAATGCAGTTGAGCGGCTAAAAGGATATACTAATTTTTGTTCAATTGATCTGAGATAATGTTTATTATTGTGATCTTTGGCCCAATCAAGCTTATTGTACAGATATAATGAATGGTTCTTTGTTTTTTACAATACCAAACAAAAGAGTGGCAAAGTGTAGACGTCTCCGGAGGTCCATTTTTAATATATTTGCTTTGTTGAAAAACGGTGTTACATATGTACGTGGTGGTATGTTAAAGCAAAAACGCGCACAGGCGTTTTGCACCCGTTGTATAATTTGTTTGGTACGAGCTAGAAATTGCGGTCCTATGGAAGAATCAGCATAGTTGAATTTTGATAGAACAAGGGACTCGCATAAATTTACACGCAGAGTCAGGTTTACTTACTTACTTATATATATTTTAATTACTGATATATATTTTAATGAGTGCTTACGACTCTTAGTGTAGCGTAGCCTAAGTTTAATAAGTAGGTGCCTACATAAGTAAAATTTTAATATATACCTAGTAATATATACAGCTCAAAAGTAATAAATTTCCTTATTAACAATGTTGATAGCTTTTTTTTTCAATAGGAAACAGAAACGGATTTAGTGTAGCAATCACACTTGAAAGGGCTACATTAGCTGTCCATGTGAAAAACACTTAACGCTGAAATCTATTTCTGCAAGATTGCATGTTGGATACTGCGCTTTATTTGTAGGCATGGAAAACGACAGTTTAACGGGAAATTGGAGTCATTGAAATTGAAACACCATACACGTTGGTATCAATGAATTGCGCAGAATCAAAACGGATTCCTGAAATTCGTTCTCGTAGTCAGAATAATGCACTTAATTCTTAATTAAAATTAAAAGTTTTTTTTTTATAATTTCACGTGAAGGCGTGTACTAATGCATTATATAGGCGGAATAAGATTTCGTCATAAAAGTAGAGCAACCTATTTTTATTATCACATTGGGCCGAAGGACTCGGGAAGATTGCAGCGAATTGAGAAATTCCCTTCGATAACAGACAATTTGCAGTGAGATTCCACGTGTAACTTTTTGCAAAATATCTTAAATACACTACTTAAAAAATGAAGAATGAAGTTCCTTTTTCAATGAAATACACATTTTGTCGTTTTTTAAATTAATGGAAAGATTGATAATAGCCGGACAGACGGGCGCCACTTCGCGTTGATCTGTTAGATAAAGTGTTAAAATTTTGTATATTGTTAATTTAATATTATTTAAATAAACATCGTGTAGTGTCGCTGTAAAAATATCCAGTACCTCATACTATCCTGTAGGTGTCATAAGAGGCGACAGGAAAACTGAAGTACGATATGGGCAGCGGCATCTTTTTATTAATTAGTTATGAATTAGTTTTGTATATTGTTAATTTAATATTATTTAAATAAACATCGTGTAGTGTCGCTGTAAAAATATCCAGTACCTCATACTATCCTGTAGGTGTCATAAGAGGCGACAGGAACACTGAAGTACGATATGGGCAGCGGCATCTTTTTATTAATTAGTTATGAATTAGTTTTGTATATTGTTAATTTAATATTATTTAAATAAACATCGTGTAGTGTCGCTGTAAAAATATCCAGTACCTCATACTATCCTGTAGGTGTCATAAGAGGCGACAGGAAAACTGAAGTACGATATGGGCAGCGGCATCTTTTTATTAATTAGTTATGAATTAGTTTTGTATATTGTTAATTTAATATTATTTAAATAAACATCGTGTAGTGTCGCTGTAAAAATATCCAGTACCTCATACTATCCTGTAGGTGTCATAAGAGGCGACAGGAAAACTGAAGTACGATATGGGCAGCGGCATCTTTTTATTAATTAGTTATCAATTAGTTTTGTATATTGTTAATTTAATATTATTTAAATAAACATCGTGTAGTGTCGCTGTAAAAATATCCAGTACCTCATACTATCCTGTAGGTGTCATAAGAGCCGACAGGAACACTGAAGTACGATATGGGCAGCGGCATCTTTTTATTAATTAGTTATGAATTAGTTTTGCAATCATGTATATATTTTGTTGTAGCTTATACCATATGCGCTTGGTATGGCGCGCTATCGGCGGCTCTGAAGAAGGTGGAGTCGGAGGTGGTCTTCGGCTTTTGGAAGCCGCTTGCGCAACGGCACTTCATTATGCAGATTTGGTACACGGTGCTCTGGCAGACCAAGGCTACTATGAAAATCATGGTAGTTAATAATTTTTCAGCTTTCGAACTAAATTTCTTTTGTTTCAAAACAAATGGTAGCATAACGTTGCATATTTGTCAATAATTAGATAATGAATTTACGCGTGAAGTTAGTAACACGATATAACTACCTACTTTAATGAGTATAAGCAAGAATAATGAAAAAATAGCATTGATTATAGCCTTAAATGTATTGACAGTTATCTATTTGAAGTTTAATTTTATTCACGTGTCATGTCTATCTCACAGGACAAAATAAAACAACTGAAGAGATATGCACGATAGTAAACAACTTAGAATATGTGCGGCGCTCGCTTGCAGAATATGATGATGAAATGATGTAAGTACAAATATCATACAACTAGGTACTACGAGATATTTCAAGAAGTTAATATAGTAAGATTATTTAAAGACATTTGTGGTTACAAAATGTACTTATGTACATGAAAATAAAACTACTTCAAAATAAATTTTAATTGCCTGACAAATATTTAACTAGGGAAGCAGACTAGATAGTACCTCAAAAGAAGACTGGGTAAAATACTTGTAAATTTTATTTATATGTTTGCTTGTTTACGATTCTAAGTGTTTATAGTATTTATATTAAATGATATACTGTTTTAGTTAAAAAAACATGAAAATGATTTCTTTTGTTGGTAAATTTCAAATGCAATGTAACTAAAAGGTTTTAAAAAAGAAAATCTGTTTTTCGTATTTCTTTCTATAAACATTAATATAGAGTTTCGAAAGGATTTCTTAGTATTCTTAATCCTATACCTTTAAACGAACAATTTATATATATATATATATATATATATATATATATATAATCAAAATCTCGGAAACGGCTCCAACGATTTTCATAATATTTAGTGTCCAGAGAGTTTCGGGGGCAATAAATCGATCTAGCTAGGATTTATTTTTAGAAAATGTCTTTTTTTCCGTGTTTTCAGGCAATGAAAAACTGCTACAATATAAGAAGTTAAATTTTAACATTGTGTTAATGATCGTAATAGCTCAAGTGGATATCGAGCGGTCGCGAAATCGTAATGTCTTGGTTCGCGTCCTGTCTTCGGTCCGACTTTTTTCCCTTTTTTTTTCAAGTTCCCTTCTTTTGTGAGAAAATCCACTATTGTGAGGCCTTTTTTTAGTATTTTTTAAAATACGAAAATTTAAATTAAACTAATTGGATATTTTTTTATTTAAAATATCAAAACTATCATAGTAATTGTTTAATATAATGTGCGCAAACTGATGTAACATCCAACTAACGTAGAGCAAACGATGACAACGCACGGCAACTTGTTCGTGGAGCGCTGGGTACACTGGATGCACGCTCGAGTCGTGCGGCTACACCTCTTGCCGCTCGAGCTCGCCACGCTTTGCGCAAAGCTGTGTTCCATCTCGCTTGGTCACCAGATACGTTACCAACACCGCAGGTAAGTCTAAGAAACAAAGTATGTTTATAGTTTTAAAAAAAAATAACTTGTAACTATTTAATAGTTTGAGTAGGTAAGTCAAAGACAAGAATTAGGTAAGCCTTAAGACAAAAATTATGACCTTATAATATGTTTAGTCGTGCCGTGACAATACATCAATTGTATAGTGATGTTAGTTGAAAGATGATTGTTTGAATAAATATTATTTTGGTTGTTAAAGAAAGTATAATTTAATTCGTTCATTTTATAAGCATTAATGTAAAGTAACAACCTATTATACATCTCACTCTTGGGCACAGGCCTCCAATTTTTAGCATCTATAGCCTTTGTTTAAAGTTGGTTGCATTTGTCTACGCGCTCCAGTAGCCACTTACCATAAGGTAAACTGTAAGTACATTTGTCACCTCAGTTTTATAAAATGAAATTAGAAGATGTAATTAAAACAATGTGTTTTTGAACAAATATTGATACCAGCTGGTATTCGTATCCAGGATGCTGAGTAGTAGCCAGAAATTGTACTCACATAATATCAGTCATAGCAAAGACAATAAATTGAAAGGGTAACAAGTAATACTTTTCTCATCAATGCTATGCCTTTCGGCATATATAAAGGAGAAATTGTAAATTATGATATAATATGATTAGTGTTAATTAAACAATTACTTGTATTTGAATACTGATTTAAAATGGAGTAGTTGTTATGATTATTCACTGCACTGGTGTCATGAAATATGGAAGTAGAAGTACTATTCACTGATCCAAATGTGGACTGAAAAAATGTTTCTATATTAAAGCAAAAAATTTATGTAATAAATAAAAATTAATGTTTATTTATTCTGTGAGTTTTTCTATTCCATTCAACCAATTATGATGAAACTTAGCAGAGTTGTGCATACACCTGTGAATATTTCTAACAGATAAGGCATTCTAATACATTTTAGACACAGCATGTAACTTATTAAATCTAAATAATTCTTATACGACAAACCTTTCTTTCTAAGGATTCTGGATGTGGGAATATAAGTCTATGTACAGATGACACAGTAGCGGCCAAAATAATAATTTCTTGTGTAGTTAATCTCTCATAAAATGTTAAGCTATTTAAGGGTGGTGTTCCCGGCGCTACTTTACATCGTAAATTTGAAGCCGATAGATTAACATCTGAAGAAGCCTCTGATAATTCTATGGCATCTGAAGTTGTTTGCCTATAAATAAATTTAATTTAAAACAATTTAATTGAAAACAAGTAAAATCTTATAAAACTTATAAGATTCTAATTTCATTTACCAATATATAAAACGATTTCTTGTATTAGCTTTTTTCGAATCTTTATACCAATAACCACCAGCTTTCTGCGGTAACTTTATATCCTGTAAAGTGCTGTGAGTACCACCTGCAAGTAAACAAATAAATATAATATTTAAAAAGGAATCAGCTAATTGATATTGAAACTGCTAAAAGGGGATCAAACCAGTATTTAACATAATTTCCTTGCATTTTTCGGGAATATTGTGGTTGGGTGCAATTTCTTTAAATGCAACCGGCATAGAATCCATAACCTCCATTGCTTAAAATTAAAAACAACCTGTAACCTGTGATACGAAAACACAATCCACACAATTTTTTCGAACTTATATAGTTAAAAAAACCCTTTCCCCTTAGTTTTGAAACTAAGAAATCCGTATCTGAAGGAAACTTTTTATGTTGATTTTAATTGAAAATTGAAATTGAATGACTGTTTTGATTTTTGGGAGGGTTTTTAGGCCAAGGAAATGTCCGCCGGGCTGCGCCGCCCCAATGCGTGTTGGCGAACTTTATATGTCTTCGAATTTTTTTACCTTATTTCTCAGACATGCAGGCGTCATCACGATGTAGCATCCTTCACCTTCGATCACGTGGTAAATTAGCACTTAAAATTGCTATAAGCAACTACTTTGGTACTGGCGGGATCGAACCCGGGGCAATAGGTTATTTATTTTTGCTTTCATCACCTATAATAAATCAATGTCGTTCCTCGTAACATATTACAAAATAAAACTTTAAATATCATATTATAATATGAAGAATTATTACAAAAAAAAACTAGAAAATTAATTTTGTATTTTTATCTATTCCCTCCTTATTATTGAAATATTCAGTCCTAAAAAATTTATGTTTTTTTAAATTAATGTAATTCGTAACCTCTGCCTAAGTTACTTTTCCTTATTTTCTATCTGTCTACATTACTAAGTCTTGTAACACATTATTGTACGGAAAAATAAACTTTTGGAGCTATGCACGCACTTGATTTTGTGATGAAATGGCTACTTATAAACGTACATTACTATTTGAGTTGTAACAGTGATCTAGTATATAAAAATTAAACAACTTTCTTAGATCCTGTATACTATAACAATAATTTAGTATTTTACTTAATATAATATTATCAATTGGTAGTTTAATTTTTATTCCAAAGAAACGAAAAAAAAAACAAAAAGCAACAAAAACTAGCATAAACAATATTTTTGACAGGCAATAACTCCACTGTTGGAGTTCTTGGACCAACATTTATCTTCGTTAAATACTTGGCTACTCCCGCGTGCATTTCTTCGCGCACTGGCTGGGTGCTGGAGTGCTGTTCTAAAAGAAGTTTCAGCTCAGGCGGATGCGGGTGGGGCGGAAAAGCCTAGGGTTTATCATCACAGATTGAAAGAGGCTCTAGAACTACTCGCCGAATTTTTCCATGCAGAGGGCAAAGGTAAAGTTCAGATTCTATACTGAAGTCACGCCCTTTTTGTAAAGCCCACTTGTTATTTTACTTTGAGCATAGTATATACTTATGTTACACTAATTATTATCTTAATAATCGTATTATACTATCTTATCTTAATAAAGTATTTGCTTTAACATTTGTTGAAAAAAAATAGATTTCATAGTCCAAAACGTTTCATTTTTACATTTGTAGTGATAGTAGACCAAAAACATTTATCATGTTATTGGTCTACTATTGTAAATGTGCATCACTTTACATATTTTTTATTTATTTATTTAACAGCCTCTTGTACGCATAAATACACATAAAGTGTTGTTGATTGCGAATATTTTAGATACATTAGTTTGCGTGCGTGGTTTTGGCGCCATTTATACACAGCGAAAAGTGTCAACTTTCATTACACATTGAATATTTTATTATTATAAGATTATATATTTTAAGATTTTATCGTGTAAAGTTATACTCGCGATGTTTCTTTTGAACAATGATTCTAATAAATGGACGAATTGTGATACTATTCATCCATTTATTAGAATCATTGTTGAATTTAAAATACACCGCAATTTCATTTAAGAAGATTGTTGAGTTCTACGATTGGCTTAAACCAGAATACCATACCATTTCAAGATACTGTAAGCTCATTTTTTATCGAGTAATAATAATCTAAATCCAATAAATACTACAGTTTCTCTTTGACTATGGGTACTGCAAATCACTTGGGTCATAAGCGCTTGGAGGAGGTATAAATTAATCAAATTAAAAGCGAGAAAATCCGTAAACGATACGTATAACCAAAAGAAGACATTGTTTTATAATTAATTAAATTCTATATATCGTATAATTTATGTACGATTGTAGTGTCGCTACATAATAAACGATACTATTTACTTTTTTACTAGTTAAAATTGCGTTTGATTTTTTAAAGGCTTACCGATGTCAGAAGTGCATAGCGCTGAGTGGTCTCGCTTAGAACAAAGGATGCAATTCCATCAGGCCCAAACGGAAGAGTTGCTAGAACTATGGTTAGCAGAACGAATATTAGAACAGACTCACACTCCTTTGCCATCTCCTTATGGCTCAATTTTAGTAAGGTGAGTGAGACACGAGATATTTTTATAAAGTGATTTTTATCTCAACTGTTTATGACAATTAGCAACTTCATTGGTGCATCGGTTGTATTAGATATTTTTGGAAATATTAATATTTTTTTACACAGCAATGCTTCACATTAATGAAACATTACTTCCACAGAGTTTACTTCAACCACGATTCACTTTGTGTAGAAGTTCTATCAGCCCGTGATGTAATTCCGCTCGACCCCAATGGACTAAGCGATCCTTTTGTTGTATTAGAGTTGCTTCCGAAGCGGCTGTTTCCCAAATCTCATGAACAAAGTACACATGTTCAAAAGGTAAATTATTTTATATAAAAATAAGCCTGCTTATTACGTAACATTTTAATTATACAATTTATTTATTAACAGAAAACTTTAAATCCTGTCTGGGATGAATGTTTCGAATTCGCTGTGTCGCTGGAAGCCTGCCGCTCACCACAGGCCGCATTGGCTCTATCCGTATGGGATCGTGACGTATTGACGGCGGACGATTTTGCCGGCGAGGCATTTATATCGCTCTCTCGTGTGCCCGGCGTTAACAGCCATGCGCCACCAGACCCGTTGCGACCCATTGAACTTCCTCTTATGCAATTACACGACCGAAGTAAGTATACGCTACGATAAAGTATAAGTAATTTTTAATAGGAAGTAAGAGCTGACTTCAAATAACAATATATTAAAGATTCAAATCCACAACTTGAGAATGTGAAATTAATTAATTATTTTTAGTTATTTTTAGTCCGCTTTTTGACCGTTTTAAGTGGACTAAAAATATCACCAACTCAATGTAACTACAACGTCGTCTAGTTACATTTAAAATATCTCCCTTTTTCCAATAAAAAAAGTACACCCAAATTCCCTAATCCATCATAAAGGTGGAATTTTGTCTCCAAATTTATTATAAAAAATAATCAGTAAATTACTTCACAATTAACGAAAATATCGCATTCTCTATAGAAGAAAAATTACTACTTTAAGTTCTCTTGCAAGTTTTAAAACTTACTATTTTTAATTTGTATTGAAAATTGCAGGTCATCCAATTTTACAAATATTGGAGTCACGTACAACAGACAAAATGGCAATGGATTTCGTAAAAAAACAGAAATTAAGATTCGCCGAACAGTAACTTGTCTATTTGTGATCTTAGATTTACTTTTTTTTTTACTCCTATTATTTCAATCAATCGTCTATTTACGCACAACGTCCATTAAAATGTCGACAATATAAAAATTTTGAAAGAAACTTAATTTTTTGAAAAAGAAAATATATATTAAATTTTAAAATTCAGTTAAGTACTTATATTGTGCGTCGTAATATTTTAAATTATGTATTAATTATGATGTTATACGACATCAGTATTATTAAAAAATTACTATAAGACTGTGTTATTCTTCTATTCATGAGAGAAAATTGTGTATGTGTAATTTTCAACAAATTTTATACGTCTATGTACTATGTAGCCTGCACTTTCGGAGCTTATGTCCTTAGATGTTAGTCTCTAGTAGAAACTCCCGACCAAGTACTTTAAGACTCGTTATAAACTATAATTTTACATTTCTTACTATTTAATATGTGAAGTATTAATATAACACACAAGCATCTATCTAATGTAAAAATATTATTTGCAACCAATATTTGCTCAAAAACCATATACAGGGTTATTTTTCAAAGAGTAGCCAATTTTTAAACGTGCAAATATATAAATAATGATGTAGTTTTTGAAAATACGAGAAAAAATGCTTCTACTTTTATTTGAAATTATCCCAAATTAAATGTGATTTATGGGCAACAACGTATTTATGCTAAACTATTGCCACGCATTTGGAATTTAAAAGATAAAAAGGAAAGAATGTTTGAATTTTTTATTAATTTTTATTCAACATGTGCCTATATTACTTATTCTAAACCTTCTCTACAGAATTAGGCCGGTTATTGCAAAATAGCCCTGTATATCAAGAGTATTTCATAAATCCAAATATAATACAAGACACGCTCCGCTCATACTTTCTACTAATGTATGAAATAAAGTGGAATACGATTCTAAAGAGTTCGTATGATGATGGCTCGGATATATCTGTTAAATAATTATTTTAAAAAGAGAGACATCTATTGTTAAAACAAGATTTAATGACAATCTAAAATACCCACCACATTGTGTAAATAGCTTTTTACCTAATAACTATCATTAATATTATTTCCAAACCATACTCGTGTCATCACTTCCATTTGGCACAATCCTGACACACATCTCTCGCCTCCTCCACATCCATATACTTACGCATACATGCTCATCGGTTGAGGGTGCTCCTATTTTGGCCCATTTTCAATATATCCCCAATTTAGTCGATAAACTTTCGCCTAAGACGTCCCTTTCCGACTCTGCCATTCACATCTGCGATCTAAATTTGCTTTGTCACTCTTTCCTCGTTCATTCTTTCCACATGACCAAACCACCACAATGCAGAACAGAGAAACAAGTATCTTTAATAGCAATTATAATAGTAGATGTATTATAATCAAACTTTTGCATGTATTATTTTCTTATATCGACTATATTGGTGTAACTTTACAATTTGCACTGGCATCTATGTAAGAGCAGCTTAAGTATTAAATCACAATATTTAATTGTTAAAATTGTATTTTGTCTAATGACTGATATTTATTGTGAGTTATTAATTGTCTGTAACGGAAACTAAATTTGATAATTATACAAGAAAAGAGATGTTCATTGTGTATGTATACACAATTATATATTGTACTTATTGGTAAAAATTTATTGGTGTTTAAACTAAGATATTTAGGTAATCATTTTAAATGAGAGTACTATAAATGGTTTCGGATAAAGAAAGTAGGAAAATGAATAATGAACATAGTGGCTAAAAATGTAAATCTGTAATTTCTTATCATAACAGATTGAAACTAAAATGCCTTCAATAAACACAGCAAAGGATTTTTAATTTCGATTGCTTACCGAGATAGATTTTTGGCAGTCTCGATCAGCGTAATTACATTATGAAAATATCTATAAAGAAAATGATCTGTTATGTTTTGAAATGAATTTATATGCAAGAAAGTCAAAAAGTCTTGAAAACGATGTGTGCCCAAACATTATTAACGAGAGGTTTTATACTTGCTATTGCTTATTGTATAAATCTACTGTAGTAGCATGTAGAATTATTTTCTGAGCAAAACGATTTAAATGTGTCTTATAACCGCTTTAAATGTTTACTTATGAAAACCTAGCTATTTATCGGCTAATATCACTATGATAACAGAAACTAAATCCATATCCCAATGTAACGAGATCATATCGTGGAGCTTATAATATTATTAATTTTACCGGTTAAGGTATTAGCAAAATATCACATTTTAGTTTTGATTACGTATCAAAAGAATAACTTGACCAGTCTAAACGTCAATTACTTATTTAGGTTACATGAAAAACTACTTTTACATGCATTATACGTGACATACGTACTATGTATAATTAAGGAAACGTTGCAGCTAATATATGATTTTATACTACATTTTTGTAATTAATATCCTAATGTTAAAATTCCTTCTATTAAATGACATAATATTTACATTTTTAAATCCAACAGAGAGAACCTTCATTTAAAAAAATTGTTGATCCTGCAGGCCATCACTGGAACTTTCCGCTAATTTCAAATGCAAAGCGCTCCAAATTTCACCAAATTATGTTGCAAAATCTCGAAGTTATGTTAAAAAAAAACGTTTTTTTTAGGTTAAGAGCTGATTAGTTTTTGAACCGATCAGTAAAGCCGTTTAAAAGTTATTAAAAAAAACAGCTTTTCAACATTTTTATTTTTTGAGATTCAAAATGTACTGGTCCGAATCAGTTCATATTAACATCAAATCTATCCCACAATGAGATCTTTAAAATCTCAATCGATCAAGACGTTCAAAAGTTGTGAAAGGTTTACATACTTACACACACACGCACACACACACATACACACACACACACACACACACACACACACACACACACACACACACACACACACACACAAAACGTCGAGATCTAATGAAAACTCAATTTTCGAAAATCGGGGTGAAACCGAGAACTTTCCTATTTTTGAAAATTTTCAATTTTAATAGCGGGAAGTTAAAAAAATGGCATAGCAGGTAAAACACATAATGTTTCCGCATGTTCCTAATAATACTTAGTTCTCTGTAATTTCAATATTTTATAGTATCTTGTTACGCTGACATTGGCGAATGTATTAACATCGCCATTAAGGAAAAGTGAAGTAGAAAAAGAAGTAAAAGTATCTAACTGTAATTGAAATTAAGATATACATGCTCATTATTTCGAAATGGATATAATATGACTAGTACATATTTGAAATATGTATGTTTTGGTTCAATGGTGCAAGTGTAGATTGAAAATATATATGTATACTTATATGTTCCCAGCTTAAACAGTGAGTAGATCAATGTATTTATTTATATTTTTGTTGTGATGTAAAAAAATAAAAATACCATAACAATTTGCATCGTTTCATTATTTATTCATTTTGTATAGCTCTGAATACTTTACATAAATCTAAATAAACAAACTTAAAAACGATATAAAATACATAGGTTCAGCAAAATCAATAAAAATGGTTCTTAATTTTCGAATACATTACTTATAGACCTCGTAAATGTCTATCACAGTAAAAATCTGTTCTATCATAGGTAAACCTAAAACTACAAAGTAGTCTGCCATGTGAGATGAGAGCCTAAGACGTAGCATAGGAATCTTATTTATTAGCTTCCCAGTGGGAAGGTATTCTCATTAGAATTGAGACCCATTGGTCTGATTTTGCAAATTGGAAATATTAACATATCTCCACGTTTCAAGGTCTTTAAAGTCGAATAGTCGAATAGGTTTTAAGAGGATGTCCGTGTGTGCACTTGTACATATGTATGTATGTATGTTCGGATTCAATTTTCGCCTCGTGTATCTCGAGAACAAAGAGTAATATTGACATGAGACCAGTTTCATTTAACGCATAATTATGTAACTTAGACCTTATTTAATTTTGAGCAAAATCGGTCAAGTTCTTTTTTGTTTCGAATGAAAAATTGTATAAAATATTAAAACATATGATAATACTTTTTTTTATTTTTTCCAATGGGAATTTAATCGTGTGGATCTTCTGAGTCGCACCTGGACCGCTTTTTTAGCTCATGTATGCTAATGTGTCAAACGAGTACACAGTTCATCTCATGGTAAGTGGACGCGTGATTGACAAACACGGAAACCTATTCTCGATAAGAATTAAAATGCAAATCAACTCTGAGGATTAAGTTGGCATTGCTTTTTTCCTTTTATTTTTGCTTTTTATTTCAAAGGATAAGAGTGACAAACGAGCACACAGTTTACCTGGTGCTAAGTGAATGCTGTGGTCCATAGACATCGATCCTAAATTAAGAATCATAATGCAGATGCGTTGTCTTTTTTTTTTTGCGCCCGAAGCAAATATGGGCAACCCTACGGAAAGCGGGGGAGGGAGGTTGGGAATGCTCATAGCATACCACGCAGCCGGCTGCGTGGTTATGTGGTGACTTTTACCCACTAAACCCAACCTTTTAGGAATTGGCTTAACGATCTGACTAGAGATCTCTAAGCCGTATACGAACGCGACCCTCCTTGGCAGAAAGGAGGGCGCAAGCGGCGAAAAGCCGCTTAGAAGAGTGCCTAACTAAGGCAGATTAAGGGATGTGTTATGTAGGCTCGGCCTGAGCCACCAGGAGGCAGTTCAGGTCAGCCGAAAGCTTGTTGGGGGGTCCGAGAGAGAGTTTCTCGGTCTGCGCACACTATAGCGAGTGTGGATAGGGGCTGCATAGGCAGCTGTCTCACGAATGAGATGATTTGGGTGGGACTCTGAGGCTTTGAAAAATCTCCCAGAGAGTGATTTAAGGAACTGCTGGATTGTTGGGAGCTCTAAGTCTCGATGTAGGTCGGCATTACGGACATAATAGGGCGAGTTAGTGGCCCTACGACAGAATAGATTTTGAACTATTTGAAGTTCATTTATAGCTTTGGGTTTAGCATGTGCGAAAATGGGGGCCGCGTAGGTCATGACAGGTCGTATGCAGACCTTATATAGGGTT